TTTTAGCTGTCAAACTGCCTCATCATGAGCTTCCGGCTGGCCTCGTAACCCAGAAACAGAGCTCCATTAGCAGGGAAGGTGCGGATCATGGTGGGAGTAAGACCAGAGTAGAGCGCCCTCACACCTAAACACAAGAAACAGCTGAGCTTACAGTCTGAAAGCTGAAACTGCTGAAAGCTTTAGTCTTTTACACCAAGACTGCTTTTCTAAACATGTTATGGAAAATACTATAAAACCCTTCATCTGCTTACCTTCAGTGCGAGTGATGGTCATGAAGGTCTTGAAAAAGCCCGCCTGTTTGCCCGTCATAGACATGACTTGAATACGAGATTTGACGCAATCCATAGGGTAGACCACCAGCCACAGACACGCCCCTCCAAAACCGCCGCTGAACACAATTGGAGCCACACCTTCAAGACACACAGCATGTTAAATATTAAAGTTCCTGACAGTACAATAAAAAAACCCAGAATGCTTGCTTTGAAGGGCTGCCAGGAGAAAACGTGCTCTATCTAAAAAGATCATAGGTTATCAAAAATGCATCTGAATGAACTACGTCTGGACCAATAGGAGGAGACCAAAGTCGACCAACGTCATAACAACCGTCAAGCACGGTGGAGGAGGGGTGATGATTTGGGCTTAATATACCGCCATATGACCTAGGTAGGTTGCAGTCATTAAGTCAACCATTAACTCCTCTGTATATGAAAATATTATAGATTCAAATGCGAAGCAACCGAGTCATGTAACAGGACTGTTTTTCCAAGCATGCCAGCAAATGTACAAGAGAAAGCTGAAAAAGAAAAGGTTATTCCAGCAGCCACAGTCAAATGCATGCAGCCTACTCTGTTTGACTTGCAATACCTTTAACATGCATGCACCAAGCAGGTATGCAGTTTACATGGTGCACTAATGGAAATGTACTGACAGAAATATCCTAACAAAGACATATTTGTTGTTTGATGACATTGAAAGTAGGGTAGTAGTTCGCTTCATCACTTCCGGCAATATATCGAAGGTGACATAGGCAGAAATCTCGTTCACAGATGTGGACTGTATTCAAATTTTCTTCACTTCACAAGTCAAATAAGCACATTATATTATAAGAAGTAACATTTAATAACATGTAAGTTAATAAAGTATATAACTTGTGTCTACTCTTTTTTTCACTTTATTTAACATCCACATTTTACCAGAACACCTTTTAATAACACAGGGAAACATTTATAGCAGTACCTATGTCATCCTTGCCACATTTCATGTAGTCTGCAAAAGTTGTGCGGCAGAGTTCGTAGGCACCGAAGAAGCAGAAGTAACCGGGGACCTCTCTGGCTATAGTGGTGGTCAGACCCTGGAAGAAGCCCAGTGGTCCCTCATTCCTTATGATGAATCTCACCACTGACCACACAGTGCTTCAGACAGAGCAGAGGGAACGGTTGCTCAGTACACGAGACACGAAAATAGCTTTTTAGTAGATGAATATTTAAAAACAACTGCTCATTAACAAACTGCGCTTGAGAAACACCCGCCCTACTGTTAGGCTATTTACTTACTTCTGGCTACTGGCAATCTTGCCTGATGATGCCATTTCATGCATGGCTTGTAGTCGGCACTTGACAAGCTCAGTGGGGCAGAGCACTAGCGATGAGAAGATGGACGCTACTGAGCCAGCACAAGCTTTCTGCACGTCACTAACAAAGACAGAAAGACCAGCAGGCGGTTAGAGAGCAGACACACACAAACTCAGTGCAGGCTTTGTGCTAACATAAAGAACAGCTACCTCAGCACAGCCTCGCTGTGCAGGCCGGCTGTGAAGCGGATGACCTGCTGACAGAAGCCGTAACTCATGAAGAGCACGGCGTTCTCGGCGATATTGGCCATCAGCGCCGGACTAGTGCCCTGGTAGAGCCCACGCAGGCCCACTTGTTTGTAGGTAGACATGAAGCAGTGGATGAAACCGCGGTACAGCTTAGGAAAGGTCTGCATTTTGACCTTTACTGTGTCTAGAGGCTGCCCGCTGAAGACGCACGCAGCTCCCCCTAGGGAGGACGAAAGTACAAAAACAGTAAATAACAGATGTGAACTAGCACATACAGAGAGTTGCTACAGGAAAGGCAAACTTTTGACAAAAGCCAGCCAATATGTGCCGTGAAGAGATTAGTATCATAGCGGGCTCGGGCGAGAAACAGAAACACTGAAACAAATGAGCCAGAAAAAGATAGGAGTCATCAAAACATCCTTCCGTCTGACATAGGTGGTGAGGTTTTGTCAGCACTAAAAAGCAACAGGATTACTTTATAGATATTAAAGAGTGCATGTGCACATGTTTATGTTGGCTACTGTAGAAAGAGTTTTAAGTGACAGGCTACTGCATTTACCTGTGGCTCCTGCAGAGAGATCAATGATGGCCTGGACTACTGGATGTGGAGCCATGGTAGTTCAGAAAAGGTCTCCCCTCCTCTCAGCTACCTGGGAAAAAATAGAAACCTATAAATGGTGTGTTTTAGTAAAAAATATAATCAGTTCATTGTTCAATGTTCCCCTGATACTGTAAATATGTGTGGATTAGATCCCCCAGAGAGAAAAGAGCAGCTGGGTTCATTACTAGTACACTAAATTAGTTGCAATTTCAACCAGAACTGCTCAAAATGTGAAAATAAATAAAATGTGAAGACGCTGGTAGATCTTTCTATGAGCTTTCGTGTTAAAAATAGGGCACACATGATTCGATTTTGCACTTTGGGGTGTAAAATAAAACTTTTTTCCCCCCAAAACTCCTATACAGCTATAAAGATGCATATCTGACGTTATGTTTAAAAGGTAAAATCCTTCTCAAAGTCCTTCTGTTTGTGTGTGGTTATAAAGCACCTGTGATTTGAAAAACTCATTGCCAAAACAGTCAAACAGTACTCTCTTCTACCAAGCCAGCTAACAATATTTATGCATTGATTTAACATCTTTTACACCTGGGACATAAAACAATGCAAAGTGAAAGAAATATTCAGTTTGTCTGTAGACTGTTAGGCGATATCAAGCAGTAAAACAAAGCCCATAATTGCACAACTGCAAACTTCAGTGCTACATAGGCATTCCTTTTCTAAACTCCAAATGATCTTCTTCTCCACGCTGTGCGCATGTACTTTATCCCTCCTTCACTACGTCCACGAGTTTCCTCTAAGGTCTTCTTTCCTTCCCGCTTGGTTACTCTATATTCAACATCCTTTGTCTGGCATGTCCTTGGAACACATCCAAATCATTTCAACCTTGTCCCACTAACTTTATTTAATTTTCTTCTATAATTTGACGACTAGAAGGAAATTGTTGACCACTAGAATCAATGACCAGAAAAGTCAAGGTTAGATTAGCTTGGTTGGTTTGCCACGGTTCACTGGCACCAAAAGTGTCCCGCTTGGGTTGCAGCTCTCTTACAGCACTGCCATCCCTTCTGCATTTGAGTTAGAGTTAAAACATAGTGCTTGTTCAACAAAATCATTACGTTTGAATTAAGAAAAGCGCTAAAAAGTGGATCCTGTGGAGAGGAAAAGCATACTTTACCTGCGGTTTACCAAAAGCAAGTTCAGTCCTGTCTTTTAAGCCTTGTGTGGTCTCGATGCGTGCCCATCTAAAACCTCAGAGCGCATTTATAACTAAAGTGTGGTTCACAGCTGCCCTCTCTGCTACTAAACTATCTATTCCCACTTTTAAGGACACGGTGGTGACCCTTCCCCAGCTCATGAAACATGGCTCCAACGTTACTGTCATTGGCCTATCTCAGCTCACACGTCACCAGCAGAGGCCGGTAAATGTTATTTTTGTGGCATAAATTAAACATCTGTTTTCCCCCGCTTCTTTAAAACAAAATGACACATGTATGTGTATGCCACGGGTAGAGCCAAAAGTTCAACAGGTATGAGAGATAACTTAGGTTGTTAACATCAATAAAATCCAACACGCTGAAATTATCAAAAGAAACTTACTGCTTTGATGACCTTACAGCGTGGGTTCACTCTGAGAGCTGAACAGATAGACGGAGTACGGTAAGAATACAAACCTTACTGGAAAGCTTCGAGGTAAACTCTGTAGGTGAGGTTAACTTGGGAGTCTATGTGTCAGACATACGTTAATTCAGGGAGCTGCTAACCAAAGCTAACATCATGCTAATTTACTCCAGCAGGCCACCGTTCAACGTTGATCTTATTGCTATCTCATTTGCAGTGCCTGTCCTCACTGTCTGCACTATGGTCAATGAATTGCCCATCAACGATCCTGGGAGGTGATGAGGAGAGTACAGAGGTTGCGTCATTGGAGGAGAAAATGAAAAGTTGAGAGCACTCTCTCTGCTCTAAATTCCAGGGACGAAAATTGCCGTCACCCAACGACTCTGCTCAGAAAATTAGCTGTCTTACTAAGCAGAATTTGCAAATGCTGTAATGTAATTGGACTTTTAAAAAATGACATTGTAGCGTTACATGGTTATTATATAGTCGTAAATGTTAAATAGATGTCAAGATGCAGAAGCCGTCAGCGATACTTAGTGGTCCTCTTAGTTTTCTCGGAATCTTTGACACGGAGCCGCATGGCACAAGAAGAACCGGTAAAGCTTCCGGTTCACATGCTTTCGTGTTTTTCAAAATAAACTTAAACACCCCATCGAGTTGCTGAGTATTGAAGACATTGTTTTTTGGCTTTATTTCTGTATATGATTAAATTATTTTTGTATTATTATTTTTGTATACGAAAAATATTAAAACATCCATCAGTTCTCCGTATTTTTCTTCCAGTGAGCCAGAGTTTCTTGTATTTTTGGAATGGTTCTTGAGCAATACTTCAGCAGGCTTTCTCAAGGTCTGTCAAAGTTTTGTTTTCAAGCAAGCAAAGGCAAAAAGGGATAAACCAGTGTTGTGTAACAGCCAACTTAGGAAATAACCGATTTGAATTTGTTTCTTTAGGTACTTTGATACTTGCAGACTGTCAGTTAAAAGTATCATTTGTTCTCCTTTCATTAGTTGTATGAAGTTGTGTGCATTTGATAGATAGATAGATAGATAGATAGATAGATAGATAGATAGATAGATAGATAGATAGATAGATAGATAGATAGATTTAAAAAAAATAATGTCATTAAGGTGAAACAATCCACCTAGACCTGACCTCTGGCCATTCTGTTTGCTGTTCACTGAAGCCTTATCAGAAAGGGTGTCTGTCAAGAAGCAATTTTTAATGAATGGAAACAGGGGGAAAAGGCTGAGGTGTGTCAAATTACACAAGAACTGTACTGAAAATCTGTGACAACATGTCCAATGGAGTGATTAATTAAAATTTCAATATGAAGGAGGTCATGAGAGGAGTACAACAGTACCACCATCTGGGAAATGTCTCACCGGCAACAGCTTGATTCTCCAGCTTAATAATGATTCCAAACACAATGCCAATGAAGGAAAAGTATACCTGGATAGAAAAATACAATAACACACGATCAGTCACTATCGGTCAGTCAGCCATACCAAATATTGACTTGCAAGCTTGATAGAATTGTGCAAACTCTCATACTGCATTTCCACGCGTGTTTCAATGTGTCAGTAAGTCGCTGGTAACTATTGTACCTATTGTAACGCTGCCCCATTTTCCTAGCAAAATATAAAGAAATAAATGGTGGGCTTTTATGCACAGAATTTTATATCTGTGGGAAAAAAAATCTTTAAAATCAGCACGACTGATTATTATTCCATGGACTCTGCTACAAGTGGTGATTTTTCCATTCTCATCAAACAACACATTTGCAGCCTTGTGTCCTTCCTTAGCCACTGGCAGTCAGATCTTGAAATCGAGTCAATACAAAGTCCTCGGACAAGATATCATTTACTTTAACAATGGCTTTAACAGCCTATGAGTAACAAGCATGCAGATGAAGTAGGTAACTTACATCCTCTCACAGTGCACACCAGATCCCAAATGGTCACAGCGTCCTTTAAATGAAGTTACATAACTCAAGATAGCTGTGTATCAAAGTAACAACCAGAAGAGAGAATTTGTTTCATTTCATGATGAATAGGCTAACTTTTGCACTTTTGCTTGTTACTCAGCCTTCCAAACTCCAACTAGAAGTCACTGTACACTTTTCTTTTTGCAAGTAAGAAATAAATCTCCCACACCATGTTAGAGATTCAGAAAACCATCTAGCAGAGAAAAACACTTTTGGCTACAAAAGAATCGCACAGAAAATCAGAACAAAGAATGTCTCAGAACACTGTGTTCTTAATCACAGCTGCTCTCGTAGATCTGGGCTCTCCACAGGACAAGACTCAGCTGTCCATCTGTATCTAAAGGATAAAGGTCACTCTTTCGAGGATGTCAATGTTCACATTTTGGACAGAGAGGACAGATGGTTTGAAAGAGGAGTGAAAGAAGTCATCTATGTCAACTGTGAGCGACCATCTTTGAACAGAGGCGGTGGTTTACGACACCAACTGTCTGCCATCTATAATCCAGTTTTGAGTTCCCTCCCCAGACGCCTTAACGCCCACTCACATCCTGGGCCATCTGACCTCAGGACATCACATGATAAGGTGGGGCCAGGTTTCACAATGACCTGAAACTCTGGCTGATTGGGACCCACATCCAGTTTCACACCTTGGCTCAGGCGATTAGAGGATCATCAGGGGGCCCTTTTGTCCCTCTGTGGGGGGATACTCCCACTAGGTTTAAATCTGGGACACCATTTGACCTTAGAACTGAAGAAGCTTCTTGGATGAGAGGTGAAACGTCTTCAAGCAACTTAAAGAAGTCCAGATGCTTTTCTTTGCAAGCTCCTTTGACTACAATGACCTGGATGACTGAGAACCTTCACAGACACATCTGGGCTCTTAACTCTATAATTGCCTTATGCCTGTTGTATCATTAGAGGAGTCCCATCCCTTCCCCAAGCATAACATTACAAAGTCTCCATTAAACACAAGCTTGCAATGAATTGTATTGTTTAAACCTCATCTGTAGCTCAGGGGTTGAAGTGAGCCGGCACGCCTTCAATTAATGAGCATTGAAGTCTGATAAGCAGATTAATGTTGATGAAGTATTACTGACGAATTAGCTCATTTGTCGTATGCTGCAGCCTGACGTTGTTTTCTTTCTTTTTTTCAAACAGCTGGACAACCAGGGCGAGTATGTACTAATATGTATATTTAACTCTCAGCAACACTTTGTGACAAACATTTGTGATAAAATGCATCTGCTAGCTAAATGCCTGCAGGTGTATTTGCCAGGGAGAGAAAAGGAAACGTTGATGTACGACACTGAGAGATGGAGGATGATCTAAGAAAGAGCACGGGAGAGGAAGATGAGAGATTATTTTCAAAGCTAAGAACTGCTCAGTAAGTGCAATTTGATAAACTGGAAACTTTTTAAATCCCACATTTGATTTGTATATGATGATGCTGAATTATATTTTTGGCTATTTAAAGGTTCCTATGTATATAATTATATAATGTAATGTGTTTTCCTAGTCTTACTGACCACTCAAAGCATTTTAAACTATAAGTCACACATTTTAACCATACATTCTTACACAGCACTTGATGCTATTAACCTCACATCCATGGCCATTTTCAATTCACAAATTAGGCTAACATGTATGTTTTGGGGCTGTAAAAAGAAGTCCACACAGGTACAAGGAGAACATGCCAACTCCACACAGAAGGCCTGTAAGCTGCAAGGTGGCAGCACTAATATGTTGACCACAAAATGGCACAAAAATACTGGCAACCGTCAGTGCTGCCCCTCAGCCTACCAGCATACACAGCTATAGCATCAGTTTCAAAATCCTGCTTTGCCTTGTTCTGAAGTTATTGCACTTATTGGAAATCCTGTGTGACTTCCCTTTTGAGTTATGTGTTCAAAAGATTTTCAGAGAACTTGACCTTTGACCTTGAAGTTGAGGTCACTGAGATTCAAACTCATCCTAGATTGTTAGAAGATGTACCCACATTGGTATCACATCGCTTTCACAAACTTAGGTGTTCACGCTGCGTGACGACAATACCCCATCAGCCTTTTATGGCTGTTGGGTAAAAAAACAGCTGGCCAATTCAAGTTCTTATCATCATGCGCCCTCTACTGGCTGTTTCATGCTTCTACATCAAACATTAACAACCTGTGGAGCTCTGAGAGAAACTGCAACAAACGATTATTTGCTTTAAGTGGGATTTCCCGTATAAATTAAAAATATGAAATCAACATTTTCTTTATCTCTGTTATATTTTTTCATAAAGGCTAAGGCTCCATGGAGGAACTTTGAACTGATATTTAAGATTTTTGAGATATTTAGCTGTTTATGTGCATTAGCAGTTCCATCAGTCATTTCCCCCTCTTCTTCTTCTTCTTCTTAAGTAAAATAACAGAAAGCACTGCAGTTTCGTTATTTACCTATATGAACTTATTTGGTGCCAAAATGCCATCTGTTTAAACTGAGTCACCCAGGATTAAATACACACACCCTCTGTCCACTGTCTTATCCTTTAAAACTCAGTCTAGACTCAGTTGACCACAACAGCCCGTCAAATTTTGACATTTAACTTCAGACACACAGTCAATAAAAGACACATTTTTCAGATTTTTTCCCATATATCTTTGTTTTTTATCAAAAAAACAAAAAAACATTGACGTTGTCTACATCACAGACAAGAATCATCAATATTCTGTTTTAAACAATTTCGCCATGAACAGAATGAACCCCATGCCCATCCCACCCCTGGAGCAAACTCCTCTATACACAGTATACTTTACATACCTATAGTTCCTGTTCAGCCTTTGTACATTTTACATCATTATCAAAGTAGTATCAATAGATTTAAAATACATACAATACTTTTCCATTGTAATTATAATCGCTATCCTGATTGTACATACAGCATCATTTCCCACACTTAGAGTTCTGTTGAGCAATTTCTGTGCCTCCTTTTCATCAGCATGTTCTTATAAAATATCCAGAAGAGACAACACGAGTCTCCGTAATTCACCAAAACAGAATACTTGGCAGATTTTAGATGATTGGCAGATGAGAAACATTTCGTAACTACCGCTGTGTGTCATGAGAGAGGAATAGTTGCCGCTGACTGCTGCTGATGTAGTTTTGAATACACAAATATTTGCCGCAATCTACAGCTTTTATTTACGTGTTCCTCGGGAACCATTCTCAGACTCCCCGAGGGGCTTTGCCACCAACTGTTGCGTCTGCTCGGACATGAGATTATGAGGTACAGTCAGAGAATCTCGGTAATCCCCAATTAGACGAGCTGTGGTGAAGGAATAACAAAGAGATTATAAAAGATCACCACAACCAAAAGAGTAACACAAGTTATAAAAGTGGAACAAGTCAAACGTATTTGTATGGATTTGTTAAAGTTCTCGGTATTGGCCTAAAACGCTAGAAGTAGTGGGCAGTGCTGAATCGATATATAAATATTTTTTACCACTCAGGATTAAAAACAGACTGATAAGTGGCTGACTGATTTGTAAAAAAAACAACTGATTCAACCTTTGTGTTACCTTGGTGACAGAGGTCCTTAACCGTGCGGGTGAAGCTCACCATTCACACATAAAACTTTGGCACCACAGACGAGTCTGTTACAAAAAAAAGGTCGCACACCTCGAACTAAATATGAAAAAAATGTGAGGAAGACTTTAATTGTTTTTTCTACGCACTGACAATGACAACTGATTAACGGCCAAACACGAGTATTCACAGCCAGGCACTTGTGTCCTTTCAGATGTGAGTCGAGGGCTGGGTCAGTCGGTGAGGAACATCTGGAGGGAGGGCGGTAAACTATGTGGAAGTTTTTACCTACAGGATTAAAACACACGCATTTGTCTTCGCGTCTAACAGCGCGCACGTAGCAGTGTCACAATTATACGCTTAGTGGCAAATCAAAGTTTCTAAATGTGGGAAAATCTACCAGTGTCAAAAATACTACATCAAGAAAGCCATCTTTGTTTGTACCCTGTAAACGCAAGCCAGAGCCCCGGAGAGTGTAGTTACTACGGGCGGGCGGCATTGCAACACAACATAGAGTTGACCCTTTCTTTTTATATCCGCTAACAACACATCCTTATTCAATATTCAGTATCACCACAAAGGCTCTACTTGCCAGTATGGTACTGGATACAGTATGCAAGCAGTCATTAACTATAAATCACACAACCTTCAGAAAAAACTTGCTTATCACAAACCTTGACTGAATTTTAACAACTATTTTCGTTTTTTTTCTTCTTCTTTTTTTGGCCCAATGGCTGATGAAGAAAAGTGATTTATCTTAAGTCACATCTATGATCTTTGAAGAGTTTTTTTTTTAAGACTTTTTTGGCAATTGCTCTGACAGCAGCAGATTACAAATGGAATAAATGAGAAAGTCATGTGTAGGAGCAGGAATGGCACTGTTTCATAGTTTAGACCTCAAGTTTGAGAGAGAAAATAAAGCGTGACAGAGAAGTAGTATTATTCACACCTTCTGGGATCTGAATCCACATCCCCAAAAAATATCTGAACAATACACACGTGTGTTAATACTGTTTTAGCCCAGCAGCCAGCAGGACTGGCTTCACCCTTCATCTCATGATTTCTTTTTTCTTTTTTTGGGGGGGAGGGGTTCAAACCAAGCAGCTGTATTAATTTCTTCCCAGTGTAGAGACAGGGGAAGTTAAATTATAAAAGAGATTAAGTATGAGTTTACATTAAAGTCTCCAGCATGAATAAGTGGCTGGTTGGTGGAGGGCAAGAGTAAAAAGAAAAGGAGAGTTGGGGCAGAAGTGGACACATCCCAATGTGTGAATATGCTAAGATGAAAAAGTGAGCTTTTCCTTTTCTTTCCTTTTTTTTTTTTAACTTTTTGGTTTTTCTTTTCTCTCTTTTCTTTTTTCTTTTTTGGCCAAACCACAGCTTGATAAAGCCAAACACACGAGCGAGGGTGTGTGCTTACATTGTGGCTGAAGTGTTAGGCACTGCAAAAAAGAGCATGAGATTGTTTTACATGTTTCTGATTCTAAACACAGTAAGGCAATTTGATTATGGTTGAATGACAGCAATGTAAGTTCCCAGCCTTTTCTCTCACGATCAACAAATGCTCAATTTAGACTCAGGCAAGAAATAACACTTGGGGGTTTTTTTTGTTGTTCTTGTTGTTTTTTTCCCATTTTCACAACCCTTCATAAAATTACCTGTGTAAAAACAGCTACAATCAAAAATGAGGCACTTTATAAAATACTATATATATATATATATATAT